TTCTTAATTTCTAAATTATTACGTTTTATTAAAACGACTTATTAGGAGCCACCCACTGACGACGGCACTCTTCGTATTTTAAATAAAAATAATTATAGTTGGTGAGTAGGTCACGACACCAGTTTCTTTTCAACCTCCTATTGGGATAACAAGAAATTGGTTGATATATTTTTTTTGTGATGATGGCAAATGTTTAAATGGTATTTTAAAGACTAAATCATATTATCAATATTATATTGTAACCACGGGTGACGGGTGTATACGATTTTATTGCTGCAGTTCATGCAATAGTTTTCATTAATTATTTATAAGTCTGCGTGTATAAGTTTTGATTTGTGCCATAAAATATGTTGCATATTTTGAGATAAATTTGTAATTTATAAACATGCAGCGCGTGCGTGCTCAAAGTGGCGCTTATATAATTTATGTCTAGCTGTATACCTACTGTCTAGTTATACATAACACATGAAAATATTTTACTAAATTTAATTTACCTACATATATTTAAGTTTTAAGAATAATAAAAAAAAATATTCATGCAGATTAATATTTAATGTACCTAATTAGACAATATCTACTTTATATTATATTATATACTATACAAATAAATAAAGTATTTAAAAATAATAAAATTATGATTTATGTTACTAACCTCGTACGTAGTTTGGTGTGAATATTAAAGTGATGAAATCTAAATTAGAAATCAGTTTGTCGAAGAACAAAATAACAATTTGTTTTTATAGTTAATAATAATAAATTAGGTTTTTGAATGCATATTATATTTTATTATTTATTCGATAAATTTCAACTTTAGATTGATTTAATTTGGACATTTTAGTTTGAATAAAAAATTGTAAGCGCTATTCGCGGTTTGAACTCAGTGGCGTCATTTGAGAGGGAGCAAGGTGATCATTGCCCCTGGCTGATTAAAAATGAAGTACATTTGTTAGACTGGTTGTTGATGAAATAACAAATATAAAAATATAATTTTTCTAATTTTGAGGAAATATAATATTGTGTCAATAGTGTGAACACTAGCAAACTATTGTCACGATAATAATTAATATGTATAGCTTTTTAGTTCAAATATATTAATATATAGACTCTGTAACTAGAGAAATTCTAAAATCAAAACGATCACTATTAAAGTTATCCATCACGCTTTTAAAAATCCTCTACTCATAATAAAAACGAACCTATTTAACACTTATCGATTTTTCAAATACGTTTTATCAGTCATGTTTCATAATGTAATTTTATTTGTTCGACTCCTCTAGGAAAATATAAAATGACAATATTTTGAATATTTACAAAATATAAATTGATAGATTATTACTATAATTTTTAAATCATTGTAGTCCCTTTATGGCTATATATCTTCCAAACCGCTATTATCACTGACCTTCTCCTTTGTCAAATTAAAAACAAGTGGTTCGAATTTCGATTTGGATATAAAGATATTTAAAAAAAATCTTCTACTTAACAGTTTATGGATGTACAACATTTATAAGTAAGGCCATTAAGACATTAAGACGTATAGTTATTAGTTACGTAAAATTCGATAAGAATCAGAATTGTAATAAATTCATTACCTATATTAATTGCTTGGAATATGAATAAAAATATATTATATATTATATCTATATAGCATAAAATCAATAAGATAATATTTTATATGAATATGTTAATACGTTGATATGCTTTAGTTTAGTATTCTTGACTGCATTATAGTAATAACGATAGTTAGAGAAAACAAATAATATATATTTAGGTATAATATACCTAAATATATATTATATATAAAATAATTATATTATATATAATATTTATATTATATATAATATTTATATTATAAATATTATATTATACGAAAGAACAAACGATAATATAGATGGATGAGGGATGAGATGATGAGGAGGTGGTTGTGGTGGTGGTGGTGGTGGTGGTGGTGGTGGTGGTGGTGGTGGTGGTGGTTGCTGTATTAATATTAGAGTTTAGTCAGTATAGAAGAAGAGAGGTTGTGGCAACGGGATGTATTATAAAATGTATAATAATAGTATGAAATATAAGGCGTTATAACCGTGTCGATAAAACCAATTATTAAAGTCACCGAACGACGACGACGTTCGCGGCTTCGAAACTACGATAAGTAGTAACTACACACGCACACATTAAGCACCGGTCCTTTTGTGGGAGACACCGCCACCGTTTACATATCATTATTGTAAACAATTCATCCGTGCGAACGGGACGACTGCAAGGGGTTTGCGCACGCGCGTTTAACACGGGATTACGGGCAATGATGATAACAATAATAATAATAATAATATAACAACACGGCGGCTGCAGTAGAATTATGATTATTATTATTATTATTACATTTATTATGCGTATGCATTCGTGTGTGTGGTTGCGCGTGTGTGCCACCGAGGTGATCTCGTCGAAGTCGACGCGCAGCGACCGATGTGATAAAGGCATCTCTCTCGGGAGACTTGCCGCGCGCCGCCCGAGGATGTCAATGATACGGTCCGGGGCACATCGCATCGTACAGCACTGCTCAGCACGCGCGCCGGCGGGGGATCCACCCGGGTCAACCGGACCGTGGCCGCCACCACTGAGGACGCACTCGCGCGTTGTTCACGCGTACTTAACGCCGCCGACCGAAATGTGTTATAAATTATGATAATATGTATATATATATGAATGTATACGATTTGTCTGCAGATCATCACATGTATAATATTATATTGCATATATCGTAGACTGTAGAGCATGTGAGCGTGTGACATATTTATGTCCGCTCCGACAAAAAGACCTGCAATGTGATATTATATTTATATACGCGTTTATAAGTCCGGGGGGAATCGATTTCGATTTCAATGGTTATTAAACTCTCAGATCGTTTCCCTGCTACGTGCAGTACAATTTTGTTTAAGTATTTATATGAACTATATTATACAGTAAAACTCGCTTAAGACTCTCCCGCTTAAGACGCTTTCCCGCATAAGACACTATTTTCTGTCGGTCTTTATATCATCTATATCCCTATTTCATTCCCGCATAAGCCGCTTTCCAGCTTAAAACGCTATAGAGAGCTGGTCCCTTAACGAACGTCTTAAGCTAGAATTAATATCATGCGTACCTAAAAAAAATTAATTTTTGTCACGCCTGCACCGAAAGTTTGGTTTTCGATAGAGGTTGTAGAGTTTGAAAGCGTCTTTTTTAAAGTGCCAGGCGGTAAAGTGGAAATCAAAAGAAGTGTTGGGTGGTAAAGTCTAAATCCCCAAAAGTGCTGGCCGCACATATCACTTGCTTATCCCCTGCACAACCAGACACTGAAATCTAATATCTATACCACGTCGGTCCTTACTCCTTACAAAACATAAACTTTTGGTTGCATCTAAAATTCATATTATAACCTCCATGCATGACTAGTGATGGGCAAATACCCAGTAAATATAATTTCAGGTAAATACCATCAGGTATTATTTTCCATTGCAATAAACTAAATGATTTAAAGTTTCATTAAAATTTAACCACAAATGATCAAATAAATGATATCCTTTTTTTTTTAAATTTCTTTTTTTTAGATTAAAATAAAAAAAAACATTTACCCAAAATTTGGAAGATAAATATTATAGGGGGTAAATACCCAAAATATTTATCTATCAGTTGGGTATTTAACCATGGCACATCACTATAATATGCATGACGCTTAAAATAAATAAAACCAAATCGTTTCTTTCATGAAATATTATTGTCGTAGAATTATGGTCTAGTTTTTGCATAGGTCCCTGTATTACCTTTGCCGTGATCGATAACTGCTGCAGTGGCTTGACAAAAAATTGTATGTGTGGCTCGTGCGGGAAGCCCGCGACTGACATTGCCTTCCCGCACGAGCCACTGTACAATATACTATTTTATGTTGAATTATACTATTAATACTATAACAATATTATGATATTATCGTACCTATACCTACGGGTCTTAAGTGCTTGAATTGGGAGGTAACGAGGGGGAAAGGAGTCCTTTTTAAAAAAAATATTTTACCCTCATAATTTATTATATTCAAATCAATAGACATTTAAAGATTCGGATTTCAGACATAGGTACGCACATTTTTTTGGATTTTTGGGTCTCTCTTCTATTTTTTTTTCCTAATTTAAGTTCTGTGTACAGCTACGTACCATGGCTACTATATTAATTATTAAATATTAAGAAAGCATTATACACGTTATAATATATGTCGCATTCAGCGAATAATCAAAATTTTAATGAAATGGAAACCATTATTTTACACCTGGTGTAATTTTTTTTAAATTTACACCACCTGTATGTGTAATTCATATGGTTATCAAATAAATAAAATAGGTATACAAATAAAATGTGTACTTGTTTTCAGTGGCTTAGCCATGATGGGGAGGTCCAAAACATATATATTGTAATTTTATTGAATTTAGGTTTTTACATTTGGTTAAAAATAAGACATGGACCTCCCCCACAAATACGGCCTTGAGTGTAAGTAAAAAAAAAATGAAGTTTAAAATAATGATTTCCATTACACGAAATAGATAAAATATTTATATTTACATAAGTCTAAAAACGACTCACACAGAAATACAGAATACAGATACACGTCGCATGATTGAAGTTTGTGAAATGAATGGATATTTCGTGAAAAGTTCGATTACACTACCTATGTGTAAATGTGACATAGTAATATATTATATTATATATTATACACAAATATTGTGGTTTTTAATATTTTAGTAGAATTATTTATTAAAACTAAGGTAATAGTTAATTTGTATTTACAGTTAATAATGATGTTTATATAATAATCTTTTTTTAGATGAGTTATTGGAATACTATAGATGAAGACATTTTTAAATAAAACTTCAATAGAAGTTACGTCAGCAGCTAAAAGAAGTGCTTGAATATAATATCATATTGGTACATTTCCAGTACGTCATTATTAGTCATTATACCTATAAAACATTATGCCACATACTGGTAAGCATTATAGTTTCATAATATGAATATATTATATATACATAATACCTATACCTATATTATATGGATTATAATTTTAAAATTTGATGTCTAATTAAATAGACAAACTGTAATGATAACATATTTAAATCTAGTTTAATCATATTTAAACTATTAGATATTATTAATCAGTATTACCTATCTAAATTTCATTATTTCAATTAAAACTTCGTTAAAGGCTTAAAGTTATAATATCAATATCCGTATATTATATACCTAGTCATATTAATAATTTAATTTGTAGTTTTACCCTATATAGACGGCTATTGTTATTTGTTAAGCCCATAACAACTTTTTTAAATTTTCATTAGGTAATGGTGTTTTTTTCTAAAATGTTATCGGTTAATTATTTATTTTTTGTCATTTAATGTTTATCCTTAATTATTTTACAACCGGCAGTCATCTGCAGTCCACTTGCGGCATTTAAACGTTGAAAGTATAATATAAACGCGGCACGTGCACCTGAATATTAAGGTTGCACTAATAAGGCAAAAATTCTTAAATACTCACATACACACGTATAATTATACAACATAATATAATTATAATTGTACACGTGATACGAACAAAAAACTAGTTACGTAACATCCATGTATAATATACATTTCGTTTGGTTGTCTGCACATATATAAATCAATTATGTGCAGATCGTCGTACACTGTTTAGGTATATAAAACACTATGTATCACGCAGAACGTACTGCAAAGAATTGAGTGATGATAAATACCGGGAGCCAGGTCGGGACATCTGCTTGTTTCTACATAGGTGTTAATGGGCGGTAGTTTTATGAAATTACAGGGTCGCATCATTTTCACCGGCTCGGATCCGCCCCAAACCGCCAGAAGGTCTTCCAATCGACCAAACTCGATGCACTATACCATATATTATTACGCACGCTATATACCGAAATTATATTCCTTTTTACCGCAGGTTAGGTTAGGTTTTGATTCCCCACAAACGCCAGAGAATAATGAGGATCGAAGAGTGTCGTAATGTTTTTATATTTTCAACACGAATGTCTTGGGCACAACGCGTATATAGTACATCACCACGTGCCGTGTCGACGAGTGTTTATTAGGTATACTTATATACTCTTGATTTGTGAGTAAATTATTAACGCATTTAAAATTTCATCATAACTACCTCCTGCCCACATTCCAAGATTATTTCACTTTCAAACCAACATACATTTTTTTTGCTATTTATGCTATATCGTTATTTTGATTTTTACATTTAGAAATTACAAAAGAAATTAGCTTTAAGTTTTCAATATAAATAGCTGATTAAACGTATTTTTTCACACTGATCAATTACATACTATAGACCATAGAGTATAATAATAGGTACCTAATATTATAATATTTCAAATAATATAATATATTAAGATAACCTAGGCCAGCAACATATGTGATGTGGTGTATAATTAGATTACAGTATATATGATTAATGATGACTGCAGCTCATTTTTGAAGTAATCTTTCAATAATTGCGAGGTTTAGATATTTTTCTGAAAAATTGAACACGCAATTATATACCTCTTATAGTAAACAATAAGAAACTATTTCATTGCAAGATCGTTATTTTCTAAATCTTTTTATCATATATAATATATTACATTGTATATTTTTTATTCTACAAATGTCATCTATCAAATAAGTGTTTAAAGGAAAACAGTTATTATTAGTTACTATATGGGTACAGTAGGTACATAAATGTTAAAATGTATCTGAATTCTGCAGGTAGCAGGTATACCGCAACACAGTACCTACCTTGGTATATACCTATTAATAACTAATAGTATATTCGTTTATGTATAGTAAGTTGTAAACTTGTAACTTGTAGCTTGTAAGTTGTAGGTAGGTACATTTTGTCGTAAGCAACTTTTATTTTTTGATTAAAGCTTGTTGTTAAAACTTCAATCATTGTTTGTTAATTATTAGTTATTAGGTATATTTGTAATCTGCAGTTATTGCATTTCTTAAAACTCGTATACCTATTACCTATATAGTCTATAAAATATTACTTATACATTATATTATAATTGATAAATTAATAATTATGTCATCTATTGAATCACATTACAGGTCAAGCTGGCGTTAACCAATTAGGTGGTGTATTTGTCAACGGTCGACCATTGCCCGACTATGTTAGAAGGCGTATAGTACAGCTAGCTCTGTTAGGTGTCCGCCCATGTGATATATCTCGACAACTTCTGGTTTCACATGGATGCGTGTCGAAAATCCTCACTAGATTTTACGAAACTGGCTCCATACGGCCGGGTTCAATCGGTGGTGCTGGATTACAAAAAAATAAGGTACACATACGCGTTAGGTTGGGTAGTTTTGCATGGTTTCGAATAATCTTGTTAAAAAAAATCGAAAATCGTTATTTGTAGCAGTTAAGCCTAGAATACAATAGATTGATAGGTATCCACACAATACTCTCGTATATAATATATAGCCATATAGGTATAACAGGTACCTACCTGGTACATACATTTTTACAAAAGTGGGTGTTAAGTACCTATTAACTATTAACACGAGTTAAAAAAATCAAATTTAAGTTAAAATGTATTGATTTTACAATGATGTGTGTTTTTTGTTTTTTTGTCTGTGAACACGGTAAGTGGTCGAATTAATGCTTCGATTTTCAACTTCCGTAACTTTTCCGGTGGGAAAGCGAATAGTTGGTACTTTTGAAAGGTAAAATTCCATGTAGTTTTCAAAAGCATCAGGGGAAAAAAATCAAGGAAAAACTGAAATTTTTACCTAACACCAGTTTTTGATAAAATCAATTTTGTATTTTTGGTGATCTTAAAAAAAAAAGTAACTTATAGATACATGAAATGTTCACTGAATGATTATATTAGATTTTTTTTTTATTGAGCTTAAAGCTCGGCAACTATGGCCATTAGCTATTTTTTTGTTATTTGTAGGGAGGGAACGATTGGAACGGTTGGTTGAAAGTTGTTGAAACACGTATGCTTTTAGGTTTGGCAGAATTTAAATTTTGCACCCTCAAGGCTGGGCATTAACGAATTAAAAAGTTAAAGTTAATTTAATTTTAAATTTTTAACTTACCTATAGTTACTTTTGGCTTTTCATTACTTAACTATTAACTTACTAAATTTCTTTTTTAATCAACGAATTAATTTTTCATTTTAAGAAGTAAGTTAAGTTAATTTATTTAGTTTTTAATTTTATTATATTTCACTAATTCAGTCCATTTTGTTTCCATGTCAAAAAAATTGTACCCTGAATTTTTTAAAGTAAAAAGTGATCTGCTTGGCGTAAATTTTTTATATTACGCACTTTCAGTAAGACAGAGGCTGCAAAATATGTCTGAAGTCTTCTTAAAGGTCCCCACACACTGCAGCGGTGACGATGGCGGTGCAGGCGGTGAATTGCTGTAGGACACATTTGAAGCCAAGACAATAGAATTTAACGCCACCGCCGCCGCTGCAGTGTGTGGGGACCTTAAGGTATAATATCACCGTATTGGCATATTTCGTTTCGGCTGTGTGGTTAATGGTTATATCCCTAACCAGTGCTCAAATTGGGAAAAATTAAGTAGAGAAGCTCGACCTAACGATTTAAAAACTGCGTTCCAAGGGCTCATTATTCAACACAGACCATACAAAAAATAGTAGGGGTACGTAAAACAAAAATAAAAATAGTAGGGGAGCTCCGTTGCCCTGCGCACCCCCACCTCTTAATTCGAACACTGTCGTTAACACAATACACCAAATAGTTTAAAATATTCAGCTACTCCACCGTGGGGCATAGTTGGTTATTCAAATATAATTGTATTATATGCGACTATTTACTATTAATACCCAGTGAAATCGTTTTATCTAAACAATATTATTTAATTTAGTGAATAACAAGAACATTTGGAACATGGGCCACACGGTTCCACGGAATACGGTGACAGCAGTGTGATAATACCTTAAAGCCAGATTCACAGCTACGTCGAGTGTCGTGTCGTGCGTGGGCATGGTGACTATATATGGTTACAACTGCAGGTAACCATATTAGTTTAAAAGTTGAGCTGTAGTAAATTATTGGTATACTCAGTTGTAACTTGGTTATTACACGATACCAATAAAGTGCCGTCCAATACTCCAATCAGAATGCGATTTGATCGACACGACACTCTACGCCACTTACTGTGGATCCGGCTTTACTCGTGTTGTGCGTACTCGTGTAACTAATATCGTTTTCTGAATGGCCGTTGTAATCATGGTATCTGGGTATCATTCACTAACCATACGATCTACCGAGATTTTCCAGAGTCGGGGGCTGAGCACATGGCACGTCGAACGACGTGAACCCACGGCTTACCTAAATCAAAAATGTAAACTACATTTAATTTCCTAACCACATGTACCTAGCTATACCTACCTATACCGGCTATACCATATTATAATATATGCTGTATATACCTACCATTTATTTATTTATTTATTTATTATTAATATACGGAGCAAAACTCCATTTAAAATATATATACAAATATGACAGTCATATATAAAGCATTTATCAACAAATAAATCAATATCTTTTTATAATTTAGACAACACAAGGTCATTTTTCAAAGAAAAGTACCAGATGCTGCAAACAAGAAGTATCAAACAGAATGACCGGATCTCTAAATGCACCTTCTCCGATACGCAACCTACCTTGGATACATCCTTTAGGTAAAATATTAATTATAAAATTCTATTAATTAAATTAATGCGCAATGAATTATTAAATTATATTTAATTTAGTACCTATTGTAAGAACGTATTGACTATACACAATAATAATTATATGTCTTTCATCTTATTTGCGGTTAACTATATAACTACGTGCGCTACATGTTTCGTTAAAAAAAAAAACTTAAAAGATATGTTTAATGGAAAAATATGTTATTACAACATAATATTAATATATTATATACATATATAGGTACAGAGGGTAATATTTTTTATACAGAAAATATTATTGATATTTAAAATAACTATACAACGCTGTACAATTTACGTGTTGAATCAAATTAATATAAATTAATATGTCAATATATTCAATTTACAGACTTGTACTACGAACGAATCCACCAGCACATTCACGAAAACGGACCGGCGAGCGTCGCCGGCGGTCCGTCAAACGGCCAACCAGCGATGCCTGGCCCGAAGAAGCCGCACACACCTTACACCATCGAAGAGATATTGAAACCCACTGCTCCTCGACCGCGGCCACCATCCCCGTGTGGATTACTCGTGGATGGAGTGTGCACGTGTGGTCTCACTGCAAGTAACGTTGTGTCAGCGGCGTTTTACGTCGATGTGCAGCAGCAGCAGCAGCAGCAGCATCAGCAATTTATGTGCAGTCAGCCGCTGCACCGTTATTGAAACAACTCGTATACACCCACCTACCCACCTACCTATTTTGTTTATTTTTAAATTTTTTTTTTTAATATTATTGTGTCCGTGACGAAAAAAAAAATGTTTAATGTAAGTTTAAGCTATATACATAATTGTTATTGAATCGGTATTGTACCTACCTATATGCATAAAGGACAAAGGTACCTACTATATATTATAATTGTGTGCAGCGTGTTTGTAAATAAAATATAAATTCATTTTGGCGCTATATATAGGTATATATTTCTATAGAAATCAAAGTGAATTCATCTTGATATAAGACTTATATATTATAACTTATAAGTACATGGCAATAACTCCCTCAGAATAAATAAAAAAACAAATTCACTAGGTGAAAGTTTAAAACCCAATGGCCAAATTAGTATATTATTATATTTTAGTAATTGGGATAGTATAGTTTATAAGTACATATCTCTATTCTAATATAGTATACTACATCATTGTTAGTACTTTTTCTTTTCAGAAATATTGTATAAACTACCTACCTATACGACCTGCAGACGTACAGTTAATCCCAATAAGGAAGAGGAGCTCCCTAATCCCCTGATATATTGTGTAGGTACCTATAATATAAATAGTAAATACCCACAATATATCGATATATCTAACTGTATAGTATATACTGCAGTGTTTGGAAGGAACGAGTTCCAAAAGGAACGGATTCCTGGAACGAATTATTTTTTAAAGAACGACACGATGAACAAATTCCTTTTTATAAAAAAAGAAGAAAAAATAACAAAATTGTTCGTTCCTTTCAAGTTCCAATAATTTACACAGAAAATTATGTAAAAAATTGAAATCAAGATGTATTTTTTTTAATGTGTACCTTTAATGTATATTGCTAATTAGTGATCGTTATAGAGTGTCGACGTTAAGGCAATCGACATATGTTGGCCAACAATTTAATTTTGAAGAAAATGTCAAAATAGAATTATAAAATATGTACCTAGATACTAGCTACTTGTATATATTAGAATAAAAAATTGAAGAAGTATGAATATGAAAAAAAAACATTGATGATTAAATAAGAATTTTTATTTTATTTGGAACTAAAAAAGGAACTCGTTCATTTTCCAAAGGAACGAATTTTTTTTTTTTTAAGGAACAAGGAACGGAACGAATTCCTTTTTATAAGGAACTTGCCAAACACTGGTATATAGTACCATGTATGCGTTTATATAATTATTTGACATAGATATTTTCATAGGGGTAGCTAATTATATAAAACCATTTTGTTGAAAAAAACCACTTAAATACAGACTAATTTGAAATCTCAATTCACTGTGAGAGTTTAAATATTGATGAATGCATTTATGTTTGACCACGCTCATTCATAATAAATAATAATATATAAATTCAAATGGATCACGAGCTCATATTATATATAGCTGTGGGTTATCTACATTTTTTTGAAAATTGTTGTTTTTTAATACTTTTTGAATATAGCTTTCTCTTCTATAAATAATAATATAATATATAGAAGAGCTATTTCAGTGTATACTTCTTCAATAATAATATGAAAATATTTCTTTATTTTTAAGTTGAAAATTGTACCTATACGATGTAGGTAGGTACCAATAATATTTCTTTATATCGCATCAGAAATTCGATATCCATAGAAGTGATGGATTTCGCCAATAAGAATAAATGTAGGTAAAAATAAAAAAACAACAAAAGCATTAAAATTATTATTATAAGCCCACGGTGCGGCGCGGCGTCGTGTGATCGAAAACGATTAGCCCCGAAAGAGTTTTCAAAGGTTAAACCAGTCGGGCAGGAAGGGCGTTCAATTTTTTCGGTATACACGGAATTCAATTTGTCGCATACATATTACATATTATTATTTTATTTGTGAGCGCGTCTAAGTACAGCGCGTACATCCGTACACACACACACACATATAAATAATATGAAATATAAATGTACAAATGTATGTAGGCTTGCGTGTGCCCGTGTGGGGCATGCGTGCAATGTGTAATTGTCCGATGTAATCTATTATCGTCGGTCATCAAAGAGACCGGTCGGCCGACCGTGTAATTTTCCAGTGTGATCCGAGGTGCCCTATATAATAATAATAATAATCGTTAGTCGCAATGACATGACGTGTCACGCAAACTGTGTAACCTACCTATATATATAGTATGGGTATCAATGATACAATGATGTACGTATCATGACTTTAAACCACAAATTTAGCAATAATAATAGACCTAGTGGAAAAATAATTACTCTGGTAAGTGGTATTTTATAATATTATTATGTATAGCCCGGTATAGATAATACACATTTAATATAAGCAGTATACCTGCATAGAAAAGAGAAAGAAAAATTAGCTTAGTTACGGAATTATTTTTACTTCATCTCTCCTATATAATAATTTCAATTGATTTCTCTGCAGAATATGTATTCTCCCACAACTTTTTCCGTAAAATTTAAACCTATAATTGGCCATGCAAGTGTTCATAATATAGTCTCTTTACATGTGTATAGAGTACCTATGTAAAAAATAATCCAACTTTCTTAAAGCTTAGTCCATGTGATTTATTAATTGTTATGGAAAATACATCTATATACAAGTTTTACTATGGGAATAATTGTAGGTATATTTTAATATTATCCGTGTAGTAATAGGTGACTATACCTATATATAAACAATATAATATAATCATATTTGTAATGTAGGCCAGTGAAGCAAATGTGCTGAGGCAGCTAAATTGTAAACTAGATATAAGGCTAAAAGAATAGTAAGTGAGGGAAGTCGTGGTATGCCAATACTGCGAGATACGTTTGATTGTTAATTTTGTGTGTGTTTATATATTTTAATAAAGGGTTTTTAACTCGTGATATTATTGTTTGCTTTTGGCGTCACCCTGTAAGTTTGAGTCCGATCTGAAACCGGTTAATTCATGGTCTTTTAGGACAAAAACATTACTTTTCGTATATCTATTTACCTTGGAAAACTAAACTGAAACCGGTTAATTCATGGTCTTTTAGTCATCCTTTCGGAAGTAGAAGTATAGTGTATACAAACCACGGACTAAGATGGACTATCTTAGTCCGTAGTGATACAAACTGAAAAGTGCGTATACGACATCCGTCACATCACTTAACCTACCTTATACATAAAAATATTCAGGCTCATTTGTTATTTTTTCTTCCTCTAATTTTAGTTTCTTTGATTTCTTATTGTCATACTCTTTGCTTTTCATTTATTATTTTCATTGATTTTTTCTTAATTTTCATATAGTTTTTTTTTTTTGTAACGCGAGCTCTGTATATATGCTATCTGAAGTCTTTTTACCTATCTAACAATTTACAAAATAGCTCTTTTATTAGTAATTATTTGACTGAACTATTCAAAATTTTTCTTTTGCAACACACCTTCTCGTTTATTCAAACGAAGTGGCTGTTGATATTTATACTTAATTCTATCCAGTTAAGGAGCAGTTGGTTAGTTATTCCCACTATACGAAACGGTCTTGAGAACCTGGTTGTTCAATATAAATAAAGTTTTCTAAGTTATATTATACAGGTCCTAGAAACTTATGATCTGCGTTCATAAAATAACACAATTAATACGATATAGCAACGTATACAAGGTTAATTAAGTTATTGAAATAGTAATAATATTATAAAGTATATTATCACCTGAGTTAACCTGGGTTATCACGTAACCCTGTTCTTAAGGGTGCTATGTTGAAGATCACAGGAGTAGCGGAGTACGAGTTGAAAAAATATTGAATTATTATAATTTATAACGGCCATTGCCCGTTTCCGCCAAATTGAAAAAGGTTCAATTCCCGTTTCCGCCAACTACCTGCTATGGTAAAATTATTATAATATATTCCATAATATGATATATATAATATATATATAATATAATATATTATGGAATATAATATATTCCATATCATGCATATTATTTTTAAGGAATATTTAAGTTTTAGCTTGAGATAATTGTACATGGTTTATATTATATTATATAAGAACATATTATAGATCCAAACGAGAGATAACTGATAAGCTTCCCCTTGTATAGTTGTACACATTAATCTATGGTAGCGTACACTACTCGCGGACGGGTATTTCCACTGCGATGCCTACCTATTCGTCCATTTTAAATCAATGTGATTAGTTACGACTTTTCTTTTAAATTCCATTTTCAGTTAAAAATTTAAAAATGTAAAATCTTAAAAATACACCCACAAAATTATACGCCCAGGGATAATCCCTGACTCCCCCCCTGGATTCTGCACTGCACACATACATACAATATAATATATTATATAGGTATATATAACTTAAATATGGAATCATCGAATATAAATCGATAAGATTGAAACTATACAGTACCTATATAGATAAGAACATTTTGTACTCCATAAATTTCTTATCGATCACAAATTATTTTATACATTAAGATTCTATAATATTGTAGTGACACACTGACAGTGTAATATAGTGCAGTAATAATACGTAGACGTAGTTACTTAAGTGTTTCATACTTACAACGGCCTAGACGTATTTGATAATTTTTTTGTGTGATTTTGATATACATTATAAGTAGGTACTATGGAATTCATAGAAAGTAAATATTATGTATTTATAAATAAGTGTCTTTTACTTTATTATCATATTCATTAAACTTAGTAACTAGGTATGACAAAATATTATGTATTTATTAAGAATATGACAAAATATTACCTATGTATTTTTTATTTGAGTATAATATATTTATCAATATAATATGTTCTTATATAATATTTTATAATATAAACCATGTACAATTATCTCAAGTTAAAACTTAAATATTCCTTAAAAATAATATGCATAATACTCCAAGTATTATGGAATATATTATTATATAATAATTTTACCATAGCAGGTAGTTGGCGGAAACGGGAATTGAACCTTTTTCAATTTGGCGGAAACGGGCAATGGCGGAATCGGTCATTTCAAATTTTGGC